ACCTACAGAACACTCCATCCAAAGACCACAGAATATACATTCTACTCATCACCGCATGGAACGTATTCTAAGATCGACCACGTAATTGGCCATAAATCAAGCATAAGCAAATTTAAAAGGACTGAAATTCTTCCATGCACCTTCTCGGACCACAGTGGAATAAAAATAAACATTGACACCAACAAAGTCCTCCCAAAACCCACAAAGACATGGACACTAAACAGCATGATGCTAAACAACTCCTGGGTCAATGATGAAATCAAAACAAATATCAAAAGATACCTGGAAACAAATGAAAATGAAGAAATATCTTACCAAAATCTCTGGGACGCCTTGAAAGCTGTAGTAAGAGGGGAATTCATATCACCTCAAACACACATGAAGAAAATGGAAGGAACACAAATTAACAACCCAACAAGCCACCTAAAAAAGCTGGAAAAGCAAGACCATAAAAACCCTAATTTCAGCACGAGAATCCAGATCACCAAAATAAAGCCAAAATCCAAGACATAGAAGACAAAAAGATAATACAAAAAAATCAATGAAACAGAAAGCTGGTTCTTTGAAAGGATAAACAAGATTGATGGTCCCCTAGCTAGACTGACCAAGAAAAAATGAGAAAAAACCAAATAAGCACAATCAGAAACACAAAAGATGAAGTCACATCCAACCCTGACGAAAAACAAAAGATCATTAGAGACTACTACGTACACTTGTATGGAAACACACTTGAAAACCTTAAGGAAATGGAGGACTTTCTGACATCACACAACCTACCTAGGTTGGAACAAGAAGAAATTGAGACCCTAAATAAACCAATAACAATCAAGGAAATCGACCACGTAATAAGAAAACTTCCTACAAAAAAAAGCCCTGGTCCAGATGGCTTTCCAGCAGAATTCTACAAGACATTTAAGGAGGAGCTGATACCAATCCTACTGAAGGTATTCCAGGCGATTGAAAAAGATGGAACTCTCCCCAAATCATTTTACGAAGCCAACATCACATTGATACCCAAGCCAGGTAAAGATCCAACAAAGAAAGAGAACTACAGGCCAATATCTTTGATGAACATAGATGCCTAAAATTCTCAACAAGATCCTAGCAAACCGGATCAGCAATACATC